AGCCACGAAAATCACTCTGTATTTTCTTGAGACGCCTTTCCTACTCATGCAATCAGATCATAAATTCTTGTTGTAAAAATACCCATTACGTTGAAACAGTTCTCTATAATCAAGGAACGAGAATCGTGAGATTATTTGAGGAGGAGTTGTTAAGATATAAAAGGAAAAGATATTACATATCTTTTTTTTCCAACCCTAAAATATACGCTACTTTTATGTTAGGGGTATAATTGTGATAATTTATTATTTGTTATTAATAAATGCTGAATTGGATTTATCTTAAAAAGTTGGAAAAAAAATGGGACTCATTGTAATTACACTTGTGTGATGGGGGTTTTTGTAAAATAATCTCATTATTATAATTAATGTTTTATTAATAATAAAAAAATGTATTATATTTTAAAAACTAATATAGTAATTAACGCCAATATATTTACAATAAATATGCTAATATGTCGGTAATCATGTGCAATTAGTTAAAATTATCATTTTATATGCTAATTAATAAAAAGATGTTAATTACACCAAATCATATTTTCACCTCCATATTTGGTAGGAAAAATAGGATTTGATGGAAAAAAAATAGAAAAATGGTGGATAGGTGGGAAATGAAAATTCCTTCACTAAAAAAATTGGTGGGAAAATAGGATTTGGGTATATAAAGTATTTTAACTAAGTTGTTGCTTATTAGTATAACTAAGTTGTGTGAAATCACCGCGTCGCCGTTACGGTTAGTTTTCCTGAGCGATTCCGTTAGAAGAGAGTGCCAATGAACTTTTAGCAAAATAGCAAAATGTACGTGTCCTTATAACTATAGAGAATATTTTTGAGAGACCTCCAGCTAATTTGCTCTTTTTTTCTTAAAGAATTTCTGTTTTATTTATACATATATAGTGCAGTTGTCCCCTAAAAAAAATACAACTGACAATACGTAACTTTTATGTAGGGCTGGGGTTGAGTTGGTTTTTACCCAGCAGCCGACCTATTACCGACCATATTTTTAGGCGGATAATAAAATTGTAACCCACCCATTGAATCGGGTTGGAAATTTCGACCAACCCATCTATAATAGATCGGTTGACAGTTTTTAATATTATCTAAAGTCGGTTGACCGATAATTATCGATCAATCAACTATAGTAGTAAAATTTAAAAAAATAAAATAAAATAAAGGGTATTATTTTTGAAGTGGATATTGAAATTACCAACACAGTGCATTTAAAAATAAACTAAGAAAATCAACAAGGGAAAAAGTTGACATAAAATTTTCACTAGAAATTTGGAATTATATATTTTTTTCGAATTGCTATTAACTATTTTGAACTGATAAACAATCATGGCGAGTGGCACCAGACATAATGTGCATATTTACTCCAAATTTTGAATTTTTTTGAAGTGAATTATGTAGCAGGTATAACCATCAATTGGGTCATTCCGAAACCAAACATTTGGTTGTCAAGCATCAACCGACCCACAAATATCTGATCGGCTATGTTTTTCAAATTTGGTTTATCGGATGAGTCTTTTTTTAGGCTGGTAATCGACCGACCCAACTCAATCCCAACCTATTTTTAGATTCAAAAAGTTTCAATAATAAGATTATGGTCATAAACTCATGGTATATTGTTTCCTTGTACTCTTTTCAAATAAAATAATAAAATTATTTAATCCATAAATCTGTAATTCATCTTCTGCTAATTATTGCCACCAATAAATTGATGCGGGTCCCAGATGACAATCTAGAAAGCTGATTTTTTATGTTATACTATTTAGAAGAAAAAAAATATAAGGTACGCCTGCACTTATGAGATATGCTAAAATAATTTTAAGGTCTATATAGTATTGGTAATTACAGTCACATCATTGAGATAATTACCGGACCAAAGATTTAATATCCTGGGAACTGATATGCACTGTATTTGTTTCTTGCGAGGCCGTTAATGCTACCATAGATAAGAATTGATAAATTTATATAAAATAATAAGGATTTAAGAAATGTTAGGAGAACCATGTCACCCCTTAGCTCTATGTCGTTTTCACCACTGTTTGAAACTAATAGTTAGTTAGAACCCTAATAGAATAACTTATCTAATGCATTATTCAATTAGGATTTCTAATAATGTTTCAGTGGGTGATTGTAATACCGATACGACGGGAATTTTAAAGTTATTTTAACATACTTCAGAGGTAGGTGCAGACGTAATTTACCGAGAAAAAATGAGGCACATGATATTGGGTACTGTTTGGTTTAAATTTGGATATTGAAATCAAAGAGGCCTCTTTACAGATGAGAATTTGGGAAAAGGATAGAAGCTTTTATGTAGATGTGCAACTTTAAAATATTATATTCTTGTGGGATTGGCTTAGTCACCAGTCCCCACACATTTGGGTTCTTATTCCTCAATCATATTGAGTTAATACTATGTAATGATTAAGAAAAAAAAAAAGGAATATATTTAGACATTGAGAAATATGTTTTTACTAAATTAATTTATGAAAACATATTAAAAATGTTACATAGTTATGTGATAGAGGGTATATAATGTTTTTACAATTAATTATCGTATGATATGATGGTCATTTACATCTTTTAAGTTTTTAATTATTTATATTATTTAATCTAAGGCCCCGTTTGGTTGACAAGATAAGATTAGCCAAGATAAGACTAAATAATCTAATGAGGCCCAATTATTTTATTGGAGCTTGAAAGGTCCAACAAAAAAAACTCATTAAAAGGCAAGATAAGCCAAGATAAGACAAGATAAGCCATGATTATATAATTTTGGCGGGTCGACCCGGCAAGTTATTGAGGATACCAAACATCAAATTAAGTCCAACTATTTAGTTAATCATAGCTTATCTTGGCAGCCAAACGGGGCCTAAATAGATATAATTAATTTGTTTAGATGTATTTTATGCTATTAATTTCTTGAATTGAATTCATGATACAAAATAAAGTGAAATGAATTATGCGTTTTCTTTTGAAAGTGTCATGTTGCATGCTTAATTCGTAGGAGGAATATAAGTAGGAAAAGAAGTTGGTACTCATGATTTGGTAATGTTCTTGCATGATTGGTATGAAGTTGGACCGAGAATGAAATGAAGATTCTGAAATCCATTTTCAAATATTCTATCGATATTTGATTTAATACTAGCAAGTAGCAACAGTCATTATTATCAAAATAATATGTTATTATATGCTACATTATGTGAAGTTCACATAGTGAACGTTGGTTTTTTTTTTCCTTCTTTAAATCCAAGCCTCGTTACAAATTGAGAAATTATGGGAGAGACACGATCAGAATCCTAAATCTCTACTATATTGGTAGAGGTTCAGTATCAACGCTCCTAATAAGAAAGAGTTGGTTCACAGTGAACGTCATTTAGTAATGGTACATGCAGGGGCGGACCTAGGGGTTTTTTAATGGGAACCAAAATATTGGTGTGAATTAAGAGAAGGGAAAAAATATTTTTTTAAGGGGCTAAAAGTGTATAAAATTCAAACATTGGGAGGGCCAAAGTCTATAAATTAATAGATAGTTACCAAAATTCAGTAGGCCCAAGTTGTCCCATGTTATTAGGTCCATGGCAATATATTTCTTCATATAAATAAACAGAAATCTCACAATCAAATGTACGCAATTCATAATTCTCATTTTTATTCTTCTAAAATTTCTTATCGTATAGAGTTGACTTGAGCGTCGAAGAGTTTTCAATAATACCAAACCCGGACACTCTAACAATCTTTTGTCTCGTTGTAGTATCCAAGCGAGGAGTCAAGAAGTGAGATGGAGGAATTGCGAAATGGAATGGCACCACATTATTTGGCGTCGTTTTTAGGGAACAAGCCCACGCCATGTGAATCGATCCCATTACATCCTAAAAAATTGATGGTGGCTCACACATTCTATCTCCTGCCTCAGGAAACTAACATATATTGCAAATGGATCCAAACTTTTCACATGAGTGCTCAAACGACGCTTGGGAGTTCGGAAACACATGTAAAATTTGAATTTGACCAAATTATAACTGCCAAATTTGTTATTCTAATGCATGTACTATAGTCCTTCATAAAATGCATATTATTATGCACATAATATATTGAATAATGGGCTATTATAAATAACTCGTGCAACTTATTTCAATCTAGGTCCATTTTCAAATATTTGTTAAAAAAAAATTCAGACAAAGTCTAGAGATGTGTAAATGACTAAAATACCCATCATATTTTAATATACTCCAATTTTATATAATTAATCCCAATTTGACCCAAATTTCATCATATATTCATTTTTTACTCCAATTTTAACCGTCACCGCCGTTGACCGTAGGACTCCGACGTTGATTTTTTTTTTTTAACTTTTTATCCAATGTTGACTTTTTCCTTGATTTTAGTTCGATTTTTCAGTTTATTTGCGCATCCCTGCGAAACCCACTTTCCATACTCATATCAAGATAATTAGGTACAAAATTATGTACGAAAATTCCAGCCAACAACATAATTTAAGGAAAAAGTCGAGAGCCCTAGGTTGTCGTTGGAGCCACTCTTTCCAAATGCCCGTCATGCCGGATCATTCTTGGAGTACATGCAAATGAAGTTTCCTGCTTCACAGGGGGGCATGGCCCCCCTTGGCCTTGTGTTGGCTCCACCATTGCTTATACAATGAATTAATTAACTAAAATTTATCACAATCTATTATTTTATAAAAAGTCGATTGATCAGGTATTATCGCATATTCAGTATGACTTTAGCATAAATATTTAGTATCAACCATAATTTACTAGTGTAAAATGGGTCGATTGTCGAGTAAAATCGACAATGAGTTGCCCCTCTCTAAAACACATGGATAGTAGTAGTTCAATGAGATAAATCAAGCATAACAAATAAAGTGTAAAGTACAAAACTTTCGAGTCTAGACAACTTTGTCCATGTTTCCCGAAATAAATATAAACATAAATGTTACCCAATTGCCAAAGGCTCACTCAGTTTGCCCATATGTGACAAATCTAAAATAAATTATCATTCTTGCCAACTGCAAACAAATCCAAACCTAAAAGATTTTGACAAATAAAACCAAGCAACAAATTTGTCATTTTGTCAAAACAACCTCAACACTTGTTTTTTGATCCCCCAACGAAAGCTGTCTCAAACTCTCACATAACCTTCCCACAAAGCCAAACAAATTCCTAGGATGACAATTTTTTTTTAATTGATCTATATTTTCATTCTACTTTTCCTAGTAAAGTTAAACCTCCACATTAGTACTTAATTACAAATCCACCAAATAAAACATCCCAAAAAAACAAAAAAACAAACAAACAAAAAAACAATCACGAGAGAGCCTTAAAAATTTCTTCAAGAAAACCTAGGAATCGCTTTGCAGACCAACGGCTGCTTCATTTCCAACGACAATTTCAAGCATTCCGATAAATCGACTCCATAATTATCATTCGAAGCGCTAGTCCATGTAAATTTGTGAAGCAACTGAGCTAGCCAAAGCTGGACGGTGGCAATGCCCATATTCTTACCGGGGCACACCCTCCGCCCCGAGCCAAAGGGGGCCAACCTGAGATCGCCCCCCATGATGGAAACTTCTTCCTCAAGAAACCTTTCGGGCCTGAATATTTCGGGCTCGGGCCATACCTTTTCATCGTGGGCTATGGCCCACATGTTGACCATGGCCGTCGTGCCAGCTGGAACGAAGTGTGGGCCCACTTGAACGTCGTGGACGGCGAGGCGGGCCCACGAGAGTAGTGGGCCCGGTGGGTGCATCCTTAGTGTCTCCTTAACTATGGCTTGGATGTAAGGGAGGCTTTGGAGGTCGGAATCGGAAATTGTTGCGTCGGTTTTTCGAATTACGCGGTCGATTTCTTGTTGAGCCTTGGATTGAATTTCGGGGTGAAGGATCATTCTTGCAAGAATCCATTCTAGGAGAATTGCTACAGTGTCGGTCCCTCTAAAGATCATTTCCTGAGAAAGTAAATATAACAAGATTCCATTTTAGATCATGTTTTTTTCTTGGACGAGAATTTTGTTTTATGCAAGAAAAAGAACATAAAAAAATAAATCATGTGAATGTGAGAGAAGCCATTACCAATCACCAGGCTAAAATAAAAAGAAAACAAAAAGGATAAAACAATTATGCAGATTCTTCATATCTATATATTCATATCCATAAAGACAAAATTAAAATAATAAAGGAGCATATATTTATTCTAGCATGATCTATTATATAAAATCGGCATCGGGTAAAACAAAATACGAAGAAAAAGGTGAAAACGATACTTTTTATTCCATGCAAATTTGTGTATGATCATGTAACCTCAATATTTGTGTGGCTTACCATTTCATGCTAAAGCAAAGAATAAGTCTAGAAAGTAAAAAGACTAAGAATTTTGTCGTCGTTGAACCAAATATACACTAATTGTCTAATAGGTCGACAATCGTACACTATTCGACATATACAAAAGATAACAAATAGTTATTTACGACAATCGTACACTATTTATTTACGGTTGAGAAATAGTAGTTGGGGTTACTTATGGCTCCGTGAAGGACTGACCTAAGGGTAGGCCGCAAACAAGGTCTGCGCGCCTGAATCTCCAAAACATGTTGGTTTTTTAGAGACTCTTCTTATTAAAATATTTATGTGTTTTTCTATTCAATCAATCTAGTGGTATGAATTTTATTATGGACTTGTGAGAAGTGTAATAAAGGGATTCAAGAAAAGCAAATTATACTATCACTTTATTGTTAATACAAAGTGTATAAATAAAAAAATTATATACTAAACGGACTTAAAAAATGCTAACCGTGCCTCCGTGGTCCAATGCTGGCTCCGCGCCAGGAACAAAGGAAAATAAAGTAAATGCAAGAAAACCAATTTGAATTAGGTAACGCATGCATTCTTCATTCATATATCATGCCCTTATAACTTATTACTCAAAAAATAACAAAATATAAAAGTTGTAATTAAGTACATTTAAAAAAAATTAAATAAAAAAATAAAAAAGAATTACCCATAGAACAGCAATCATGTCAGAATCAGACAGCCCTTTCTCCTTCTTCTCCAAATCAAGCAACACATCAACAAAATCACAATCGTCGTCTTCTTTGTCACAAATTGGTCGCCCTCTTTTGAGTCTGTGCTCATCTATTATTTTACCAACAAAATTGTTCACTTTAGCGACCAATATTTTACTTCTCCTCCTCACACCCTGCAAATCCAGCCACCCAAGAAATGGGAAATGGTCGCTATAATTGAATATTCCCAGCAACTCGTACCCTTCTCTAACCAACCCTTCCAGCACAACCCCGTCGCTATTTTCGTCGCTAAAATCGTAGCATTTCCCGAACACGCTCATCATCACATTATTCAGCGACCCAAAATGGAGCACGTTTTTCACCTGTATCAACCCACGGTTGCTTTCCGCCATTTTCGACGCGATTTCGTCCGCCATCTTCAGACCGATCTCTCTCCTGAAATTACCGAAAAGTGCCACCCTCCTCGGACTGAACAAATGGGCGGCGGAAATCCGACGCAGGTTCCTCCAGTAGTCTCCGTACGGCGCGAAACCCATTGCTCTGTGGAAGAGGAGCTCGTACGCCGACTCTTTCACCGGCCGGTCGGCGAAGGCGGAGCTGTTCAGGATTTCTCTAGCGGTTTCCGGGGTGCTCGAAACGACGAAGCGCGTGAGCCCGACGGAGAACGCCATCAGGGGTTTGGCTCCGAATTTATTGGAGAGGTCGGAGAGGATTCTGTGGGTGAGTGAGTGAGTGAAGGTGAGAAGCAAACCCAGAAGAGGAAGGCCCGACGGCCCGGGAATGGCGTTCGCTGGTCGGGCTTGGGCCCTGGAGAGGACCCATGCAAGCCCGCCCGGCGTCAGCCAGAAGGCGAACGCTGCGACGAAGAGGAGGAAGCACAGCGAGAATTGGAAGGAACACACTGTGGAGGTGTAACCAGACGCTGATGGAACGAAGAGAAAACTCAAGTCCGACATTTTTTTTTTCTTTTTTCTTTTTTTTTTTGTTTTTTTGTTTTTTTTTTCCGGCGCAGTGGTGAAGGGGGGAAGGTGTGTTTTTGGTAGATAATAAGCAGTTAGAGAATATATATGAGAGGTTTTCTCTCCGTGTGTGCGTGCTGTGTGTGAGAGAGAGAGAGAGAGAGAGAGAGAGAGAGAGAGAGAGAGAGAGAGAGAGAGAGAGAGAGAGAGAGAGTGGAGGAGAGAGAGAGAGAGTGGAGGAGAGAGAGAGAGAGAGAGAGAGAGAGAGAGAGAGAGTGGATGAGAGAGAGAGCGGGAGATGGGGAGTGGTGGGAGGAAGCGTTGCGAATGAAGAACCAAGAGTGTGACGGAACGATATATAGGCGTTACCCTTTTTTTCTTTTCTTTTTTTATTAGTGAACAACGTTTTTATTAACTAGACCGATAACAAAGGTTAATATTGTAACATTTATTTTTCGGATGCAATCTAAAAAAAAATAGAGGACTTTGGACCATAATTTAAAATCTTTAATTTATAGTTTGATTCTCATGAAGTATATTTTTGGCAAATTACGGCCACACTCCTAAAGTAAGTTTAAATTACGAAAAAAAAATCATCCATGTTAAGATAACTACAACAATTCCATTAACTGTGCATTGTCTTTTACGTCAATTCTTACTATATCAAACTTATCTACTGAAGGAGAAGTTTTTTCGTAAAACAATACATATATGAGTGATGGTTGTAGTTACCCAAACCAAAGGAATTTTTCGTAATTTGACCTTACTTTAGCGGTGGCCATAGTTTGTCCTATTTTTTGAAGTGAGTATTTGAAAATTCCTACGAAGACCGTACAATAATATAAACGTGAAAGTGTGAGTTGGATAGAGTCGATTAAGAGCGTGTTTTGCTAAGCTTATAAGCTGTTCAAAACATCTTATAAGATGTTTAAAAGCTTATAAGCTCTTAAAAAGTGTTTGATAATATTTTTGTAAGAGATTTTAAAAATTCCAAAAATAAGTTGTTGGACATCTTATAAGCTCTTTTCAAAAAAGTACCTACCCCACTTTTTTTATTTAAGATTTTTTTTATCTATTTACTTCATCTTTCCAAATACTAAATTACCCTCAAATATTTTAGCATATTCCGTCAACATCCTCCTTCATATAATATATAAATATTATTACACTCCTGTGTAATATGTTAAACCTAGGCATTCTTGGACAAGAAATATTTCAACGCCGTTGATTATTTTCAGTACAAGTAGTTCAACCTTTTTGTTTTGTATTGCTTGCACATTTTTCATGAATTTTATTGACAATCATAACCTGTTTTTATTTTTGATTTGAAACTACTGGAATTTGAAATTATTGGGATTCTTGATTTGAAACTACTGTCAAATCATACGGATACTCCTAATAATTAAAATACTGAGATTTTAATTTATATTTTATATGTATGGTTTTTTATTTTTTATTTTAATGAATATATTAAGGAAGAACAACTTCATGGGTTTTTATGTCTTTTCTGATCATTATGACAGTAAACAGATCTTGCAATGCCAAACAGTTTAAGAGCTTATTAAAAATAAGACGTTACAACTTATTAGATCTTAAAACAACTTGTCAGATGTAAGAACTTATCAGTTGTTTAAAATAAGCTTAGTCAAACGGGCTCTAAACTACTCGAAATTTTTCTTAACATGCTTAAAATGTGAGAGTAAATTAGTAACAATACTTCATATAAATGGACTTTGTATTTAAGTATTAGAATTTAATAGTTTTTTTTTTTTTTATTTCATCCAATTTTATGCATTACCTTTTTCTTTAAATAAATTAATGATCTTACGTTATGTAGTAATTGTCCACCAAATCATCAGTTGAAGTTCAAAATAGATAAAATGAAAAGCCGTTGAATATGATTAGTTAAAGTTTAAGCCTAATTCTTTTACACATTTTATGCACTAAAATTATTGCATTGTTCTTGGAGGGAAACGGACAATCCAATGCATTCTTCCTTTCTTCCTTTAATCATTTGAAAATAAGTTACAAAAATTAATTTCTCTTTTTCTTAGATGGATAAATTACCAAAAACTAATTGTTAACATTTATTATATTTATAAAAAAATATGAGTGGTGATATATCCACCTCCAAAATATCTCAATTCACCACCAAAGTTATATATATTGTCATAAATACCCCTCAAATTTATAATTCACCACCCTTCCTTATATTCGCTTAATCCTCATGTTTTCTAAGTTATTTCTATTTTTTTTATTAATTTTCTTAGTTTTTTATTTTTTTTTTCAATGAAATATTTATTACAAGATATTTAAACTTCCATATCAGATGACGTGCAAATTATATATATTTTTTTTCGAAAACGGAATTATATTAAGCCAAACTAGCCAATTACGGAGGAAGTTCAGGACCTTCCATACATCTATTTCTCCAAGAATGTGAATTTCTGCTCTTTTAGACCTTCAAAAATGTTTTTCTCTACCGAAAATATCATTCAACTTAATGTGGAGAGGGTGAGATTTTGCGGTAATCATTCCAGTGAAAATGGTGGAGTTTTTTTTTTTTTTTTTTTTTTTTTAAATTTGTAAAAATATATAGCTGAAAGAAGAAGAAAAGGACAAATAGTAAATATATTTAATTTGATGATGAAATAAGATATTGTGAGGAAGAAAATAGCACATCTAAAAAATATACTCTTTTTTTTATAACCCGCCAAAGGATGGCTTAATAGATGGAATAAAAAAAATGCGTGTCATTTGATAATAAGTTGTAACACCCTTATCGATCAATAGATCAAGGTTCGTCACATATAATTAGTCGAATAAATGTAATTTAGATCTATTGGACCGTCTCAAATATAGAGACAACCGTCAAATATGGCCTACCAAACAATATTCATTTGTACTACAATTTTTAAGCTAAGGCCCATTAGAGTATATAAAATTCCAAGTATTTTTTAACTATAAATACATCAAACTAGATTGATTGAGTTATGTGGTAGCACATGCATTATAACTGAGATGCATTCATTAAACTCCAAAACAAACATAATTTTCTTATTAAATTTCCTTTATATATAACGAAGAAACCAACAACTAATCATATAGCTGCAGTTACTTAACATTTCAATAGCTTCCAAATCACAATAAAAAGAACATAATAAGGTAGACTTAAGCTCAATTATGTATTAAAGCTTCAAGCATTTGGTTTTAAGTTTATTGAGCTCTTATGACTTGGAATTTAAAAAAATAACATTAAGCTCAAGTTCGTAGGATGTAAGCTCATTTACTTCAAATTTATTTCTACATTCGGAAATTCAACCTTTTTGAATAAATTTCATATTCTTGAGACATGCTCTACTATCCCATAAAAGAAAAATTGAAATGCTTTTGTTGTGGAGATTTTATTACTTGCAGAGCGATTTCAATCATTTTAATCTTATAAACCTCAAAATTTACTCGAAACCCTTAAAACCCGTCAAACTATCTCTAACATTCAAAAACCTTCAAATGCTCGACATTCAATCCGACACGTATGACTCACGTTTTATAGTAATGTTTACTAATCAACCTAGTTCGTCTGAATCAATTTATTTACGAAAATATTAGTTTTCAAGGATTAGGAGTTCGAAAACAAGTTGAAACTGCAAGGGTTTTTGATTGAAAAAAGGACCACTTCCGCCGCCTTCCTAAATCCAATTTCAGTCGCCTCGTCTTTTCGAAAATTTCTTCACGCGCTCGCCACTTCGCCACCGGAACCTTCATCTCTTTTACATTTTCTCGTCCTCCTTTTACTCTATGATCAGTAAGATTAGACTTTTTATTTGGATAAAAATAAAATTGTGACCTTTAAACACTGACCAAGGTTAAACTCTAAACATAGCACAACGCTCCTTAAAAAAACGATTGAACTTACCGCTGGGGAAGTCACACGAAAAGGGGTACTCTCTCTCTCTCTCTCTCTCTCTCAATACGATGATTGTTTATCAAAATTGCAATTTAGTCTTTTACACTTCTCGCGTATGAAAAATAAGGTTATAACGACTCTCATTCTGGTTGGAATTATTTGTTCAATTTATAAGAGTTATTGATTTTTAGCCCCATTTACTCTATTAGATTTGAGTGATTGTTGGATTTTATGTATAATTTAGTGACTGGAAGTTCATTTTAATTTTGTACAATGAAGTGAAAAATAAAATGGGGAAGAAGGTGGGTTTTTGTTTGGTGGAAGTAGGGGATAATATAAGGAAAAAGAAAGTGTAGTGATTTGACGATTTCACCCCTGTAAAATACGTGTCAGTGGCCCACAGACAATTCAACCGAACATTTTGCCAAAAATTGCCAATTTTGTGACCGGTGCTCCAAATAATAGAGTTTGAGTAGCACCGTGCAACTTTTATTAGTGTAGGATGTAATTTGCAAAATGCGTCAAAGTTCAGGGGACAAAATGCCATTAACCCTTATTTTAATTTCTCACACATATATATATATATATATATATATATATATTATCTTTTATACTCTTGATAGAGAGTGAAATTTTGTTATTATAAAATGACACGTATCATACCAAATAATCATCTAAGTGGGTCAACATAATATTCGGTATATAGTACAAATAGGTAATATTTCACTAATTATTTTATAAACTAATAGGGATAAAAGGCCATCACTGTGGATTCAATACCAAATAAGACATTTCATAAAAGGCCATGACAGTGGATTTAATTTGAAAAGAGACATCTCTTTTCTTTTACAAACAAACCCATCACTTACACATTCACTACTTATTAAGCAAATTATGCATGACGCTTTAAGTATAACTGGTCCATAATTTTAAGCACTAATTGAACCACAATTTCACCAATTCACCAGTTTCGACTCGTGACCCCCGCTAATTAAACACTATTGATGACATTGACCTTTTTAATTTTAATTTTTTGTTTTTGTGTTGAGTGGCCAATATAGTGAATTTTTATTTTTCTGTGGTGACCGATCAACAAATTAATATCAATAAAAGTTTATTAATGCGACAGTGTTGAACGATCAACATAGCAATATTGTTGTGTTTGCGATCAACACGATAGCCTTAGTTTTTTCTGGCTATGTTGAAGTGCTGAGCGATAGTATTATTGTATTGATCGGTCAACACCGTAACGACTGTAAA